GCTGGTAAATGGTACTAGCATGTAGCAGGGAGTGAAGCCCGCCAGAAGTTTGCTTGTAAACAATGGCCTTGCCAGCGGTGGGCTGCTCTTGGTAAATACAACCATTCCGGTTACTTGCCTAGTGCCTCTGTTTCTTACTGATAGCGAATACGGATAGGGTTTTTGACTTCGAATTTTGCTTTCAGCAACTCCTGTAACATGAAAACAACCGGTTCCTTCCCAAATTACAGCATTCGGAAGAAAAGCATCAAATATCCTGAATTTTTTGCTGCTTGGAATGAGTAAGCATCTTATTGTACGACGTTCAAAAACAATACTCACACAATGAATGCACGCTTCCGTCTTATCCTGCACCGCAAGATGATAAAACTCGTAAAGTTCGTTAAAATCGCTTTCTTCCATGGGTAAATTTTTTTCTTCAAGCAAATGCGAATGAACCAAACAAACTGAAAGACAGAGTGCAAAGTCACAGAACATGAAAATTTCTTTTTCTGTCAAAATTCATTAGACGAATCATTAGTAAACACAAATGGAAGATAACTCATAAGCGAACGGGTGCATTGATTAGAACTTGCGTGTGAAAGCATTGGCGTATTCTTCACAAAGGTCAGCATATACGTTAGCTAATCTTTTGTACCACAGTGGCCGATCCGGTTCCCTGTTTACCAAGTCCACGTGATATCGCAAGCAATTATGGCGCAAGTGCTGGAACATTGAAAAAGTTGCTGTTCATTCATGTTTCAATAAGAGTGCACATGAACCCTTTTGCCAATAAGGCTTAGAATCCTGAGGAAGAAGCAAATAAGATTAAAGACTCGCGAATTCATTGAGTATTTGCTTGTTTATTCATTCGTTTTTCAAGAAGCATGAACGGAAGGAGCTTGAGACAGAAAATGTGAAACAGTATGCCCGAAAAGACAGTCAACTAACGAAATCACCCATGCATAGTTTAGCGAAGATAGATGAGGTCAGTAACTGCCACATGTGAGTTTATAAGTCACGAAAAGGAAGTGGAAGATGAAACCTTGGTTTAGCTTTGTGAAGTTATACAAAACTGGGGTCTCTGCGTATTCAAAGACACACATATGAATACCTTTACGTAAGCGCGCACACACGCATGCATACGCACATTATTTAGCGAAAAAACTTGTTAAACATAAGTGCAGGAATGAATATTAAAGAAAAAGGATGAACCAGCGCAACCTCATCATCCTGCGATAGTTCCAATAAGCACATGCCGAAATGGTCCAGGAAATAGAGTAACTCCGCCAAATCGGCTCCAACACCCCATCGGACATCACATTTCTCATTTAGAATTCTTATTCCATGCATGTAATGTTTAAAAGCTAATTCATAGTTCTCATTTATATAAAATTCCCGATCAGCCACTCGCTTGATTTCGTGTAATGTTCTTCGAGCGGAACGAAGTTGTAAGGTCGACTTTGGTTCTGAAATATTGGCAATCCTTTGCGAGATTTCGCACATTTAATTTGAAAAAAACCCAGGCTGGAACGCACCAGGTGAGCCGGAGTGATCATGCGTTTTTGCACAAAACTTGAATTAGGTTAACTGCATGAATGGTTGTTTCTTCACACCTACCTTGT